TGATGTCCATCAGTTTTGAACCTTAAATATTTAAGCTAGGATAATATATTACTAAAAGAATAAGCTAAAGTGCCAATGAGCCGGTTACATAGCTTGAAGAACCGAAAACCGATGGGGAAGAAAATTCTTGAGTGGCGACTCCGTGCGGTAAAAATAATGTAAGATGCCCCTCTACTAGATAAAGTAATAAACTTAGGTGCATTGCAGGATATTAGTGGATACAGGTGGCTCAAGATTATTCTTTATGGCGGTCTATGTGGAAGGCTTATATTCAACGACCACAAGTGCATTGCAAGGAATTTGTGGATACAAGTCACTCAAGACTGTTCTTTACATCTATGGGAAAGGCCTGTTTTTAATAGTGAATAAATAAAGCCAGATATGAACATGATGAATATATTACTTGGCTACGAGCCCCGACGCTCTCAGAGTGAATCTGTTCAGCTGTTTTAAAAGTTCACAGTCAGTTTGTTGGTGCAGAATTCATAATCACCGCACGTCCTCAACTTTTCCTTTATAATCGCAGCGTTTCGCGTTTGTATTTTCTTCATGTTCCGCTCACAACACTAAATGCGGATGTACCGCAGTTCCGCAGTTGCAGCCCGCGTGTACACACAATAGGGGTGGAAAATATCTAAAAATAACTACACGTTGTAGTTACCACATGTGTATTTTTACCACCAAGGTGCCAGGCAAGCGTATTGCCCACGTGATGGTAAGCGTGTGTGTGAATGTGGTGCTGGAGAAGGATGGAGAAAATTAGCTGAAAGGATCGAATTAGCAATGAGGAGGTCCTGCTTCGGGTTAAGGAAAAAAGACAAATTATTAGAACTATTGAGGACAGAAGGGGAAAAATGTTGGGACACTTGATACGACACGACGAACTTATGAACATTATAATAGAAGGAAGGAGGGGGAGAAAGAGACCGAGACATAGTTACATCAGGCAGATCAAGGAAGGAGTTAGTGTCGTGTCGTATCAAGAGGTGAAGAGACTCGCTGAAAATCGTAGTGAGTGGCAAGAGCTCCACCGACAAGAGCGCAGCTCTTAAATAGATAGATAGATAGATGGTAAGCGGTTACCGTAGCCTAGGAACGCCTGCAATATCAGGGGTATTTTTTTATGGGTGATAATGAAATAGTAACCCCACCCGCGCTATCGATATACACCGACGGGGCACCAGTGAAGGATGATAGGTGAGGATGAAACAGGTCAGTTAGCCCCTCGTGAGGAATTCAACAAGAATTGTTCACGATGGTTTCCAGGGGGAACCACGTAGAGATCGACCTGATAAGGCATATTGCTAGTAATGAGGCTGTCACACTCCATAGCTAACTCGCATAACTAAGCTCGCGGTTCCCCCTGGAAACTATCATAGTTAATTCCTGATGAATTCATCATGATGGGCTAACTGACCTGTTTTCATTCTCATCGATCACCTTTCACTGGTGCCGCGCCAGCGTATCCCGTTATAGCGCAAGCGGGGTTACCATTCTTTTTACACCCATAAAAAAAACCTTGCCCATAGCTTGTAAACTGTTAATAAAGGGTTGTAATTTGCAGTTTCTTTTTTTTTTTTTTAATCTGTTGCTATCCCTGCGCGCCAGGGTGATTAAAATATTAATGTTTACATAATATTATATATTACGTGGCAGATACTGCGTCTTACAGGTGCAAGTTCATTGAACTGTTAACAGATTCTAAATGTCACTTGTAACAAAAGGTTGTCCTGAAGTCTGTCTAAATAAAGTAACTTTGGATGGTAATACCATCATCATTATGTAAGCTTTTAAATGTCCACTGCTGAACACAAGTTACAGGGTACAGAGGAATAACACCTGAATCCTCAGGAATGGCAACGCATGGGGGTATCATGGGCGAAACAGTATACTCTGTTATGTCCATGGTACTGCTCATGTCTATACATGGAATATATCTGGTCAATTCTGTACATGGAATATATTTCCAAAATAACTATCAGGGGGTGATTAGTGATCGACACTGATGCCAAAAATGCAATCAGTAAAATTTTTGTCTGTCTGTCTGTATGTTCGTTATAGAAATAAAAACTACTCGACGAATTTTAACGAAACTTGGTACAATTATTCTTCATACTGCTGGGCAGGTTACAGTATACTTTTCATCACGCTACGATCAATAGGAGCAGAGCAGTGAAGGGAAATGTTGGGAAAACGGGAGAAGTTACTCAATTTTTAAGCTTCTGTCGCGTGTGCAGCTTTAATGGCCAATTTTTTAATTGTAAAAATGTCCACCCGTGCGACGCCGGGACGAGCCGCTAGTGTTAAAATAAATACCTGTATTAAGCATATGCGTTAAAATTGTATTATATCTAATGTTAATTTATTTATGAGGATTAGAAGAAACTTATTTTTTATATCAGTTGAAAAATAACTCGACTTTTTATAAACGCCTTCCTTTATAGGCGTAAATGGAAGCGCTTATAAAAACTCCACTCGCGTACGACTCATAAATTTATTATTTACGACATTAACCCGCTGTGTATTAGAACGCAGCTTTACATCTCAAAGTTACAAGACAGTAATATGAGCATCATGCGGACAAAGCAAGGGTAACGTAAAAATTATATCGTTGCGGTGCGAACTTGCGCATTGCGGATGATCGGCCAGCGGTCTCACTGCGAGCGGGTAGCGATTGATTATAATTTTTTTTATACATTGAAAATAAAATGATAGCGTCGCTTTATTTATTTATTTATTTATTTATATCATAAACCGGGTGAGCTTTACATTCTCCCAATACGCTCATCCAGGAAAACATCAGTACGGTAATACATATGCATAATTAAATGGAATAATATTAATTAAATTTAAAGCACATAACAATATAATAAATAACATCTATATCTTAAATCTCTGAACACAAACACTCTGTGGTTATCAGGCAAAACTCCAGCAAGTTGGAGGCAAACACGTCTAATTGTTAATACTGTATCAAAACATCGTTGAGTACTTTATGCAAGTGAGAGGAGACTTTGCTCGGCCAACTCTGTTTTTTTTAACGGAATATATGCCAATTGGCAATGTCATTGCACAATATAAAAATATGTGCAATGACATTGCCAATGCGTTAGAGAAGGATAGACATATAAAAACGCATATAGATAAGATATCTCACTTGGTTCTATTGTACGTATAAGTCTACCAAATTCAGATACAACCTGCTTGCATACTTTCTACATAAACTGTGTCGAATATATAATCTAGTAATGTAAAATTTGTCATTGACAAATAATTGACGTATCAAACATTTTCTATACACTAACCAGCTAGGAATTGAGAAAAATAGCAACTGATGGTGTATCTTTCGTCCTCTTTTTGCTAGTTATATTTACATAAGAAGAAAAGAGGCAATTATATGATTTACAGTTTTTATTTCATCATTGCTTCTATGTAATTCCTTGTTCTTAGGTGCCAATAAAGTGTAAATTATAGACATACACCAGCGAGGTAACAGTGAGTCGTAATATTCTGAAATCTAGGATCAAGTTTTTACTTCGCAAAACAATGTTGTACTGACAATGAGGTGATGTTCCTGGAAATTTGATCAATTTACCTTTTTTATATTTGTACTAGCTTTTACTCACCATTTTATCCGTATGTGATATCCGTGGGAAATATTCACTAATCGGGATTCAAACTTGCTTGTGTCCGTCTTCATTGTGATTATTTAAGCCGTCAAGCCACCAAAAAGTAACAAACAAACACACTTTTACATTGATTATATTAGTAAAAACATATTTTTTTATATTCCTTTTTATGTAAATGTTGCTTGATATTTGTTCTTTACATAGATATTCTAAGCAATTTTCTTTCTTTCTCTTTTACACTACTGAAGTGGCAAACAAGCATACAGCCCACCTGATGATAAGCAGTTACTATAGCATATGAACGCCTGCAATACCAAAAGCATCACACGCGTATCGTCGACTCTGAGAAAACATTTTGTCCCTTTTTTGACATACCCCAAGCTGTATCTGAAACCGTGCTGTACGTGACCAACTAGACTTTAAAGTATGGAGTTAAACTCCCTGTCGATGGTAAACTCTTCGATGGTAGAAAGTAAAGAATTCTTCTGCGCATGTTCTATTAAAATTATGCCCAATTTTTTTTAAATACTTTTATTCAAAGGAATCAGTAGCTGCCACTATGTATTACAAATAAACAAACAATGTAACGTCATTGTAATAGACATTTTATGACATCCAATGGAACCACTTTATGATTGTTTTATGTTCTCACAGTGTCATGTCATAGAAATCCTTTAGTAAAGATAGAACGGTGTATATATCATATATTGCTCAAACTATATCAGTAGTGTAGATTGGTACACCACGGGACTTTTAAGAAAGATATTCGTAATAGCAAACAAGTTGAGAGCCCTCCTTAATTTTTTTTAATGGAACAATGAAATGGTAACCCCGCCTACGCTATCGATATACACTGGCGGGGCACCAGTGAGTGATGATAAGTGAGGATGAAGCAGGTCAGTTTGCCCATCATGATGAATTTATCAAAAATTAACTGTGATGGTTTCCAGGGGGAACCGCGTGGAGGTCGACCTGATAAGGTATATTGCTAGCAATATGACAGTCAGACTCCATTACTAACAATCCCTTTCCTCCCCAGCTCACCATTATTAATACTATACCCGTGGACTATCATGAATAAAATATTGTAGATGCACAACTATGGACGTAATATAAATATTACATGGCAAAAGATTAAACTTTAACCCTCTCTTTTTAATTTTAGAGCTGGTAACATCATAGCAGGAATAGCAATGCATGGGAGTATCATAGGCGAAACAGTATAGAATAGAATAGAATAGAATAGAAATCATTTATTCAAATAAACTTACATTGAAGCACTTTTGAAAAGTCATTACATTTTTTTTAATTTACCGCTCGTTCGGAAAGCTGTCTCATCACAAGAAGAACGAGCAAGAAACTTGCGTGATGCTCTTTTAAATAATTTTATTATTATTTTACATTTTTAAGTTTAATTGTGTGAATACAAACCACCAATTAGCACTAATTCAATTAAATACTCAAAAAGAAAAAAAAAAATTGAATACATAACCAACTGGTTAAACAATTAATAAGAGGAAATCAGTCATAGTGATTAGAGCAGACCAGTCCCTACAAGCAGCACCCGTTCACGAGTATGACGGATGAGCCAGCCATCACTGCGCTCGACCATATTTTAGGGAGCCCAATGACCCGGCCCACCACGCCGCCACAAGTCTGGACATTTTAGTGAGCATGACTACTCAAAACACTAGACCACGTCAAAGCTACTCACAATTGCCATCTGATAGTTATAGTATTCACATTTTACATAAGAATGCATGCGGCAATTAATACAAAAAACCGCTACGCTTTCATATTTCTAAAATTAATCAATTAAATCAAGAAAGCAATGAGAAAATAAAATTATAACGTTGTATGCTAATAAACTAATTATTTACTTGATATGTTGTCATCTATGAATTCGTCTATCCTGTAATAGGCTTTCTTACATAAAAATTGTTTAATATAAGATTTGAATTGCCTCTCTGTCAGATTTAATGCAGATTCCGGCAGTTTATTATAAAATCTTATGCAATTACCATAGAATGAATTACTGATTTTGTGCAGACGGCATTTAGGTAAAATAAGCTTATTTATATTGCGTAAGTTTCTACTTGTACAGTCTTTGAGTTTTTTAAAACTCGCTAAGTTCTTCCGTGTATACATAATATTTTCATAAATGTATTGTGAAGTAACTGTGAGGATATTTGAGTCTTTAAAGCACTGACGTAATGACTCTCTTGAACCCATACCATAAATAGAACGTATGGCTCTCTTTTGTAAAACAAATATAGTATTTATATCGGCTGCTTTACCCCACAGCAGTATGCCATAAGACATTATGCTATGGAAATAACTAAAATATACAAGTTTAGCCGTCGCCACGTCTGTTAATTGCCTAATTCTTCTAATTGCATATGCAGCAGAACTGAGTCTACTGGCCAATTTTGAAATATGGGGCCCCCATTGTAATTTCGAGTCCACTGTTATACCTAAAAAAACTGTATCATTAACAAAATTTACTATTTCGTCATTAAGCAATAACTGTGTATTTATTAGTCTTACATTAGGAAGTGTAAATTTTATACACTTTGTTTTGCTGGAATTTAATAATAGGTTATTACATGTAAACCAATTTAATATTGCAGACATAGCACAATTTACATCGTCTAATTGATTACTTTGACGTCCAATTTTAAACACTAACGAAGTATCATCCGCAAACAGCACTATATCTGCAATTTTCTCTACCATAAAGGGAAGGTCATTTATGTAGATTAAAAAGAGAAAGGGGCCTAAGATTGACCCTTGTGGAACGCCCATCTTAATATTAGCTCCCTTAGATTTTACACCGTCAATATCTACAGTTTGAACCCTATCCTCTAAATAAGTTCTCATTAATTTTAGATCATTATCTCTTATACCATAATGTTCGAGCTTGTACAAAAGCGTTTTATGATCCACACAATCAAATGCCTTTGATAGGTCACAAAAAACTCCGAGTGCATCCTGTGACCTCTCCCAAGATTCGAAAATATGTGTCATTAGCGCAACACCTGCGTCAGTGGTAGACTTGCCGGCGGTGAAACCATATTGCTGACTGTGAAGCAGTCCGTTAACCCTGAAGTGATGTAACATTTGATTTAACATTATCTTTTCAAACACCTTACTTAGAACTGGCAAAATAGATATAGGTCTATAGTTCCCTGGCTCAAATTTATCTCCTGATTTAAATAGTGGGATTAATTTGCTAAATTTCATTAAATGTGGAAAAACGCCATTATCAATACATTTATTAAAAATAGTGGCTAGATATGGAGCAACAATATCTATGAAAGAACTAACTACTTTTACAGACATGCCCCAAAGGTCTTCCGTATTTTTTAAATTTAGCTGTTTGAATATTTTTATGATATGAAAGGGGCTAACATGTGAAAATTTAAATCTTAAAGAACAACAACCGATATTAGTCTCTAGTAATTTTTTTGCTCGAGATTGAGATGAGTCCAGAGAAGATGTAATATCAATCGGAATATTAGCAAAAAAATCTTCAAAAATATTAACTACATCTTTTGTTGTTGTTATTAATTTATTATCATAATTTAATGTAAATTGATTACAGGCTATTTTAGATCTTCCAGTTTCTTTATTTATAATGCTCCAGATGGTTTTAATTTTGTCAGAAGACTGCTTAATTTGTTTATTAAAATAATTAGACTTAGCCATAATACAAACTTTTTTAAAAATTTTAGAATAATTTTTTACATAAGTGGTGAATTTGTCATCAAATCGATATTTTTTTTGATCGTATAAATCAAACAAAATATTTCTACTTTTAAGTATTCCTACTGTTGCCCATTCCGTGAATTTAGATTTAACATGAACTTCTTTTTTCTTGAAAAATTGTTATATCCATGGTACTGCACATGTATATAGGCGACAGATGCCACTTTCCATCAAGTGAGCCGTCAGCTTGTTTGCCATTTAAAGTTGCATAAAAAATTAAAAAAAAAATCAAATGTATTCCTATAATTTAAAGAGCAATATCTCTAAACAATATTTTTCTAATTTAAACTTTTTATCACAGGATATGTACGTAAGTATAATTATTTGAACGCTTATCGCTAGCAGTGAGACCAAAGCATTGTTTGAACCCAAATTTCTCACAAGATTATTTATAAGGTTTATTTATTTTAGTCCACATGTGAGACTAGCCACGTCTCTCTGCGATATATCTCCTAAAAGACTAGAGCCATCTTTTAAAAGACTGGAGGTATTACGCGAAAATCGTCAGATGTCAGAATTTATGCTTTATATCAACGTAGAATTGTTAAAAAGTTTTTTTTTGATGGGTGAAAATGGTATGGTAACCTCGCCTGCGCTAACCGGGATACGCTGGCGGAGCACCAGTGAAGGGTGATAGATGAGAACGAAAACAGGCCAGTTAGTCATGATGAATTCATAAGGAATTAACCATGATAGTTTCCAGAGAGAACCGTGAGGAGGTCGACCTGGTTGGGTATATTGCTAGCAATGGGATTTTCAGTCTTCATTACTAACAATCCCTTTCCCCCCTGTTGAAAAGGTTGAAAATTTTATGTGAAATAATTAAAATTGTCGGAACTATTACGTTAATATCGTAATCCTTTGAATAAAAAACCGTATATTATACTTTTTATGGGATGGTAATGGAATGGTAACCCTGCCTGTGCTATCGATGTACACTGGTGGGGCACCAGTGTACATCGAATGATAAACAACTGAGGATGAAATCAGGTAAGCCTAATTGTGTTGAAGGAAAGATAGAGGGCAAAAGAGAAAGAGGAAGACCGAGGATTAACTACATGGGACAGATAAAGGAAACACTAGGCGTCATGTCGTATAGGGAGATAAAGGATATGGCCTGGGATAGAGCTGGCTGGAGGAAGATGCATGAATTAGTTGCACCGACAAGAGGAAACTCTTAAATGAAAATGAGAAAGAGTTAAATAAATAAATCTTCAAGTCGCAAGTCACCTTGTCAAAGATTTCGGCAATGCATGTGTACATATACAAGCTGTTTTGGCTATTTACTCTCAAGATACGCTCAGTTTTCATCCATATTGTAATTCACATTTTGGTCCACTTTTGTGACACACAGTTGTGACAAAATCTGTTATTTCAATTTATAAACTAAACTACTGAATAGATTTTAATAAAATTGTCATTGTATATTTTTATTTATGGTGCAATAAAGAGTTAAATAAATAAATATATATAATTAATGTTCTGTTAAAAGGAGATTAGAGATTCATTCAGCTTTAAATGCAGGGATATAGCAGGCCTGTCGGAGAAGACAATGGCATTGTCCGCAGTACAGCTTCATAGCAGTGTCACTAACAGTCTCGGCTGGCTTTGTCTCACTTTTATCTTTCAATCGGAGTAGATACAGCGATCGTTTCCTTTGTAGCCTGTAACACGATACCTTATCTAAAATGGCCTTATATTTCTAAATGATTTTCAATAAAATATTATGATATTATTTTAAGAATTCATATATAATAGATATGTATAAATATATATTATAAAAGTATATATATATATATATATACACATATTTATAGCTATATATATATATATATATATAGCTAGCTATAAATATTATATCACTTCTTTTACATTACACTTTGACATTCAGCTATTTTTAGAGCGGTGCAAATGAAAAATTTGCAAGATTAAAGTGATTTATTTTTAAAAAGCAAATATATTTTTCACAGAATTCGTGATCTTTTACAACTCTGTTTGAAGTTTACATTATATTTATGCAATTTAAATTCTCTTTTTTTATCGTACAAAAATACCACTCTCAAGGAAACGTATTTGATATTTTTAACCGACTTATATAAAATCATCGTTTTCATCACCATATCAGCTGTTAACTGTCCACTGCTGAACATAGGCCCTCCTCCCTATTCCCCCAATAGGGGAATTCACCAGTAGTTGCTTCATTTGGCAGGCGTGTTGACAATCGCAGTAAGTCTTGGATGATGTTTTAAGAGGGACGTTGCTGCCCATCCCTCGACAATTAAGTTCGTAAAATGAAAGTTCCTAATTTAGCTATTTTTTTACATGTATGAATGAATGAATATACTTTATTTGGATTATACTTTATTTGGATTATACAATATAGGGAATAAGCAAATTAATTAATAAATGTAACAATACAGTATGTTTGTTTATTTATTTCAATAATAAAGTCCTCTATTTTTTCACATACACAATTTGTTTTCAATATGCAGAATTATTTTGTTTAATTGTTGATAATAGAATAGTAAACTCATCGGTATGTGCCATTTTCAATGATACTCCATTAAAGATTGGATTGGATTAAAGATTGGGGAGGATGGAAATTTTGTCTCTCCGTCTTTATATTCTTTCCGATATCACGTAAAAACTACTACACCTAAACGATGCGGTTTTCACAGTTATGTTACTAAAGATCTAACTTAAAATCTGATATATGTTTCATCTTCAAGAAGTAAAAGTTTTACTACGTCTAAAAACTTCTTACTTTCACGTATACAAAGTAACGGGCGAGAATCTTGTCCAATATAAAATGAGATTAGACTCTATAAACTACATGTTAGAACACGAAATATGTTGTCAACTTAATTTTGTTTTGTACAATATTGTGCTCGGTCATTATGTCCACTTTGAGTTACACTTGCCCTTGCGTTGAAAGTTTGGGAACCGAAAAACTTGTATAATTCACTTTGGTAGTTAGAAAGAGATGTATCTTTTGACGTAGGTAATCGAGTTTACAAGAATCAAGTTGAAACTTTTTTATATAAAAGAAAAATAATGAGATTGTGTCCCACAAAAAGTTGAGCCAATTTCAAGCAAAATTTATTAGTTTAATTAGTTTTTACTCGCGACTTCGTACGCATGCATCTTGAAACAAACAGACAGTGATACGACAAATTAAAAAATTATCGTTACGCATGCACGCACACACGCACTCGCATTCACGCACACACACACACACACACACACACACACACACACACACGCACGCACGCACGCACGCACGCAAGCACGCACGCACGCACGCACGCACACACGCACGCATGCACGCACGCACACACTCAAACGCACACGCGCACACACACTTGTGTGTTCTATATTCTCAAAATGCATTCTTAAATCTTTCGCGTCATCCCTCTCATGATTTGTTGTGCACAAACAATAAAATTGAATGATCGAGCATAGTCATCTATCATCAGAACAGCGCGCTGACGTGGCATTTACACGCGCTCGCTATATATTTAATTGAATGATTAATCGATGACATATCCGTGATGATTCGATGTTATGTAAGTAATACGTTCCTTCAATTGACATAATTATGTTACTTTTTTATGTATTTTCCTTTTTCTTTGTTTGTAATTTTTTATTTCTTTTTTTTTAGCGTATATATCTATACCTGTTGTTATTTATGTGCTGCAAACAATGCAAATAAATTATATATCCATCTATCTATTTATAACATACACCTAACGGGGGGAAAAGGGATTGTTAGTAAAGGGGAGGTTAGTTCCCATTGTTAACAATATACCCTATCAGGTCGACCTCCACACGGTTCCCCCTGGAAACTATCGTGACTAATTTATCGTTGAATTCGTCACGATGGGTTGCCTGACCTGCTTCATCCTCACCTATCACCTCTCATTGGTACCCCGCCAGTGTATACCGATATCATGCAATTTTCACCCATAAAAAAAAACATACACTTAACTGTTTTATAAATATTACAAGTTTAGTATTGCTCGCAATCTCTAAGTAATTTGGGGCCAATCTGTAAGTAATTTTTTTTAGATAGAAAAAAACCAAACTCGCTTTATAACTGACAGAGTTATTATGTAACAAACATAAAAAACATAAAAAAAAACTAAATTTAGAACCTCCTTATATTATTATAGATAGATAGATACTCTTTATTGTTTCCTCCAAAAGATTACAATAGGAAATTTATTATAAATATAAACAATTACAAGAAATAATCACAGTGAGAAAACAATGGGCGACCTTATCGCTAAGAGCGATCTCTACCAGGCAACCTTTGGATGGAGAGGAGTAATTATAAACAATTTGATTGGAGGCACGAAACTCTGTTCGTTTTTTAAATACATAGTCATAACTTTTAAAAACACAACTTACATGCTAAGTCTCTTATGAGTACAGCCAATGACGGATTTTATTGATACAAATGAAAATTATAATTCTAGAGCGAGGCAGGCAAGTTACAGTGGGTGTATGCAAGTAACACAAATTTTTGAGATGCATGAAGATCCTATTATTTCTAATTATGTATGAACTACCAGTTTTACTTACCTATAATTTAATCGTATTACATTTTTTTATATCAGTGAGGTGGCAAACAAGAACACCGGCCGAAAGAAGGCCGCTTGACTTGTGGTAATCAGTTACCGTAGCATATGAACGCCTGCAATACCAAAGACATTACGCGCGCATTGCCGGCCCTAAGAGAACCTCTTTACCCCTTTTTGTGAAGAACCCCATGCTGTAGTCTATTGGAAAAAAACTCAACTAAAATATACGTAAGTGAAACTGGTAATTATAAAGTTAAAATAAAATGTTTACTTACAAGAACCTCTTTCTTTTTAAAGACAGTTAAAAATGAAAAAGGTCATAGGTATCACGAGACCTTGCGAGTTATATTGAATTTATAATGTAAAATTTAAAAAAGTTTAACGAGAAATTGTAATAGCGAGAGAAATTTCAATAGAAAACTTTAAAAGTATCATTCCTAAATCCTTCGGTTACACTGTGACGTCGTAATACCGTTAGGTACTTTCGCAAGCATCAATTTGTCTTCACATCTGATCCATTAATCTATCTCCGGATATCTTCTCACTATTGCAAACTGGTAATATCATGCCTTATTCTATACTTTTATAACATTTATATTGACTTTTTTGTTTCTTTTTTCTGTAATACTTAAAATGGCACACAAGCTGACGGCC